CATGTAAAGAGCTTGGGATAAGGCCACTTCACGACTGTTGCCATCTTGCACAGTGAAGATATGCATCATTACTAGTGTTTACCTCAAAGGCCCTCTCTTAATGTTCTGGTCTGAGTAAGAACCCCTAGGACCTCTTGCAACTTCCCACCAGCTCGGCATGATGGCATCCTGGAATTCCCTACCTCTATGATAATAATAACAGTAACTCATGCTCCTATATACAAATAATCTTTTTAGGGAAGTCTGTCAAGAGAATGTGGCTGCCAATTGAACCAAGGGGTAGGAGGCTTCTTGTGCCCGCTGTCCTCCAAGAACGTGAGCTCCTCTTGCCTATTCCTCTTGCATTCACCTCTTCCAGAAGCTGTGCAAGGATACGTCTCTGAGATAAAATGCATTGCTAAGACCATCTGGATGAAGCATGTGATTAAACCCAGGTAAAGCTTTTATATAAACTTTTAAGATGGGGGAGAGGGAGGGTCAGGTACAGAAAACTTGTTTTTCAGCAACCCAAAACAAAGCCTCTAAGGATATTTCCTTAGTCGTTGGCACTGCCACCTACTGATAGGGAGAAGTCTGCCTTTTTCTTATGTATTTCCTTGCCTTTAGTGTACGTAGGCCAGTATGTATTTCCTTGCCTTTAGTGTACACAAGCCAGTTTCAAATTAGACCTGGGAAACTCCTGAGGTTGCAACCCAACAGACACTATTAAATGGATGAGGGAGGGAAAAAAATCTATATGGAGTGTGGTAATTATTGGAATGTGATTGTGCTACAAATTTCCTTGATGTGTTCATCTATTGAGTTTCTACTGTCCACCAGGCATTGTAGTGGATGTTGTATTACAGAGATTAATAAGGCCGCCAAAGGGATCGCACCACCCTATTTTTTTGACAAGAAGGAAGCTAGGGACCAACACTCAGATCTCTGCATTAGCTAGAACAAAAAGGGAAACGTTTTAACACTTTCAAAGTCCAAGCTTGCCTGCTGAAAGAGCAAGAAGCATGACCTCCCATTTGGGTTCACTCTCCCCCTCCAAATCACAAGTGCACTGATCTTGGTGAAAATTTATCATCATGGTACACAGGATACAGAGTACTCTGGGAAAATCTGCTGTTAGATTTTAAGCTTCTAGCATTTAGTGAGGCACACTAAAGTTGTGAGGAGGTTGGTCAAGAGAGTCAAGGGAACAATCTGAACATTGGCCACATTTACAAGTGAACAATGGAAAGAGAAGACAGGCTGAGGAATAGATGTGCCTCATGAATAGGAGTGAATCAAGCGCTGGGGAGATCTAAACTGGATTGAGAGCAAATGGACCCCTAAAGAAGCTATCCTAGAAAAGAGAGATCCTCATTGGAAGAATTAGCCTCAAGTCCAAAGAAGAGAAACTTCTTCCTCAGGTTGAAGGGTAATAGAATTCTGCAGACAGAGTTAACTTGTGGGTGAGGTGACAGGAAATTGAGTTTTTCATGCTTGAGAGCTTCTATTTTTCTAGGTAATAAAAGCCAAATTGCCTTTTGCTTGAAGGAGGGGGATTTCCTGGAGTGAAAAGAATGTTAAGACTGGAAAAGAATTGACTTGGATGTCAACTAGATTTATTGTGGTGCTCACTTTGCAATATATACAAATATTGAATCACTCTATTGTATATCTGAAACTTCCATGTTATATGTCAATTATATATATATATATATATATTTTTTTTTTTTTTTAAGAGAGAGCTGACTAAAGGAAACACACACAGGTACCCTGCCGGGACTGTGAGCTAATTATGTGTTTATACCAGCACTAATTCACATGATGGTACGTACCACTTACACAGCACAGAAGGCTTATGGGTTAATATATGGTTACCGGTTTTAGAGAAGTCAGGTGGTAGAGAAGGTAGAGGGAACAAACTCGTGTAGACATCCCCCCAAAGACATGTTTAAGTGGACACACAGGGTCTAGGTAGGGTAGGAGGAAAAAATAAAGTCAAATGTTTAGATACCTGAGAGAAAAGTGTGGGAGGGCAAGAAACTCGCAGTCTGAGGTAAATAGAGATGCAAGTAAACCAGGTTTGGGGAGAAAGATGGAAGGGTAGTGTCCAGTGACCCAAGACTGATACACTGGAGTTAAAACTTGGAAGGTAGAAGAGTTCTGGGTGGTAACAAAACTCCTCCAGAGAGTATTTGCATTGGCTGTTTTCTTTGCTGCCCATTCTTCTCCTCACGTCACTGAAAATCAAACTTCTTTCCTCATTCTTTCCTCCCATTCTGAAACAACGATTCCCTTGAAGAACTTTAAATGGGGGAAATGACATAATCTGTTATAAAATGTTCAGAGCAGCAAGAGACAAAGTTCATAGCAGTGCTGTTTGTCATAAAACAACACTGGTAAGTTATTAAATATTCATCAACAGTCTATGATTCAAAGTCCATAACCAGCTAAAATTAAACTGCATTGCTTAGAGATGCATCCATGGATGGCTATGCTTGGAAAACAAGGAAATGATTGTCAAAGTGAGGAGAGTGGTGACCTCTGGGAGAATGTAGGTTATTTTCATCAGGGAGGAACCCATGGAGAGCAGGAGGCAATCTTCTATCTCTTGATTGAGGGGTGGATACCTTCTTCATAATTATTCTTCAAGCTGTACATAGATGGTTTTATACTACTTTGTATCATATTCCAACTTAAAAATGTATATTTAGGAGAGTGGGGAATGAGATTAGGAAGGTATATGCAAACACAATTGTTTCATGAGCTGGGAAGTGAATACATGGGTTTTCATGTATTATCTATAATTTTCTATGTCTCAAATTTATCATAATTAAAAGAAGGTCATGTGGAAAAGAAGGTGGATGCTTTTGTTTGTTTTCATTTCCTTTATTGTTCAATAAGAGAATCAGGAGAGAAAATCTGGGAACTGGAGCAGCACTTTGGAGATCTGTCAGCATTCAAAAGGTCTTTTCTTTTCAGAGGCATGGAAAATATAATCCAATTTACAAATCTCAGGGCTTGTTAGGTTGACTCTTGGAAGAATAATCTCAGGGCTATAAGAGCCTGTGTTCTCAGAGCAGCCCCCACCTCCGCCTGGGCATATGCTATGCCATCCCTCCCTCAGAGGCTCACCTGAAGCTGGCCTGTGAATTGGTCTGGAAGTCATTCCCTGGGGAGTAGGGATAACTGCTGCCAGCAAACTGCCCTGCTTTCCCAGAAAGCCTGCTCCAACCCCTGCCTATTCAGTCAGTAAATCCTCATTCCAGACTGCTGACCTTGGATTTTTCCCCATTGTGTAAACAGAACCAACTGGGAAAATACATTCCTAACAAAAATCTCCAGTTGATATGTGCAATGAAAAACCCAATGCATTCAGCAATTTAAAACTGATTGCTCATGGATTTTCCTACCTCCTGAGCCTCTGGGCTTTACCCAGTCTTGTTTGAAGGTATTGTAATGCTGATAACCCCTTAAATCTGTGGTTTACTCAAATGGATTCCCAGGGAGGAGAAACCATGCGGCACAGTGGATAAGCAGCAGGGGATGGTCCAGGTAACTCCTTGTTGAGTTGCTTAACCAACCTTTAATCCAGGATCAGCTGAGACTTCTTGTTATGTGAAAGAAAATTCTCTTATTTAAACCACATTTAATTTGCAGTTTCTGTTACAGTTTCTGTTACAGTTCTGTTACAGAATGAGCCCTATTGCTACAAGGATGGATAGGGAAATTTTGTTAAAAATTTTGAGAAAAGCTGGAACCGTTCAGTGACAGATAAGGCCTCAGAGGACTTTCTCAAAGGGAGTGCTACTCAAAGTGTGGTTCATGGACCTGCAGCATGAGAATTACCTAGATTCAAGGGTTTTACTCCAGATTCAAGGGTTTCCCCCCTGACTTTCCCAATCAGATTCTCTGGAGATGGTTCTGGGAATCTATATTTTAACTAGGCCTCCTCCAGTGATTTTTGATGCAACCAAAGTTGGAGAAGACACTGGCCTAGGGGACTTCTACAATTGGGTCCGACTGTTGCCTTTAGTTTATTGCAGACCTCCCTGATGATATTATAGTCCTCTAGGTCTGCTTCCTTTTCTGTCACAACAGGGTGAGAATTAGTTAAGGAAGTGGGTATAAAAATGGTTTGAAAGAGCCGAAAGCTTTGCTTCCTCCAGAGCCCCTGAGCTGACCCACCCCCCTACCTACCTACACAGCATCCAAAGCTGCAAACAGATGTGTTGGATCAGCCTGGCCTCCACCTGGCCAGCCTTTGAGCTTCTTTGGGTAAGGCCTGCTTTCATCTATGTCCAGCAGCCCTGAGAGGGTGGAGAGTCACTGTCATTAACCGAACTCAATTGTTCCTATTTTGAGTGTTCCTGTTTGAGTCAATCAGGCAGGACTGGAAACCCAGGTTTTGCCTTTCTACCTTGAGAGGGACGGGAAGCCCCCGCCGCAGCGCTGTCTTCCTCTCTTAAAACCTCAGCGACCTCAGCGACCTCAGCGTCCTCCCACTCCATCCTTAGCATCCTTCCCCCATCTCTGCTGAGGCGAACTGGTCCTCCCAGATGTCTGAACCTCCACGCCCAAGGAGGCGCACAGACCCCGCTGGCCAGGAGACAAACGAACGACTAGGCTGTGAGTCCTCCCTCCTGCCCGCTCTCCCCTGCCTTACTAGGAGGCGATCCAGATGCCAGAGCCACTCGCAGGGGCCAGGAGGCCCGGCTCCGAGGCGGCGCCGGCGCGCGCCGGGCGCGGGGTAGCGGGTGGAGAAGGCCAGCGCGCTGGGCAGGTGACCAATCAGCACGGGGCATGCCAGCAGGCCCGCCTCCCGGCGGCCACTCAGGCGCAGGGGCAGCGCTGCCAGCTCCGGCACTGGACGAGCTGCCTGCCAGTCGGAGGTGGAGCAAGCGGGGTCTCGGCCAATAGCCCGAGGCGACTGGGTCAGGCGGGTGGCCCTGCGGTCCGCGCGGTGGTCCCGGAGCCGCTCGGCGCTGAGGGAGCGGCCGGCGTCCGGCCCGCGCTTGCTGCGCTCTCTGACCCCCCGGCCCCACCCGTCGGACGTGCCCGTCATGCCAGGCACTGCTTGGCGCTAGTGCTCCGGCCGCCGTCCGCCCGCCCACTCACAGCCGCGCCCACTGCCCAGAGCCAGAGGGATGGTGGTAGTCACGGGGCGGGAGCCAGACAGCCGTCGCCCAGACGGTGCCATGTCCAGCTCCGACGCTGAAGACGACTTTCTGGAGCCGGCCACCCCGACGGCCACGCAGGCGGGGCACGCGCTGCCCCTGATGCCCCAGGAGGTACTTGGACGGAGGAGGGAGGGATGGGGCGCGGAGAGGGGCAGGAGGGAGAGCTGATGCTGGGAAGAACTGACCTTGGGGTGTGAGTGGGGCTGGGACTGGGGGCCGGGGACTGGGCTGGTGGAGTAGCCAGAGGGGCTGTGTTCCTGTACTCATTCACCCCTGTAGAATGCTCCTGGTGTGTCTTCCCTGCCCCTGGCACCTGGCCACCCAGCAGGCTCCTTCCCCTACTCACTGCCTGCAAGGTTGATTTACTCCCATCTCTATGTCCCGCCCATGCCAGCTAGATTGGGGGGCGGGGGGAGAGGGTGGGTAGACGTGGGAGGGGGACCTTGGAGCTCCAAAAGATGATCGTGCCTTCTAGACAGACCGATCCAAGAGAAGGCCTTGGTGGTTGCCCAAACCCAGTTGCCCAGAGAGTGGGTAAGGGGCTGTGTGTAGATGAGGTCAGTTGATGAAGGTGTCCACGCCCACCCGACTGCCCCAGGGTTTCCCTGTCCTGCCATGCACGATGCATGGTGGCTTCCACTTGTAATGTATGTGACACTATCATGTTGACACGCCTGAAATAACTGCACGAGGAGGGAGAAGAGAAGAAAAGAGGGGGTGCTGCTGGGCACTGGCGACATGGTTGGGGCTAAGGTAGTGCAGGATATGGGAGCACAGGACCTGTGGAGTCCTTAAGGGGTGGACAGAACCCCAGGAGGGCAGGGCCGGATTAGACTCTTGGGAAGCAAAGAGTGTCCTCTTAGGGCTGGAAGCCCTGTACCCCCACCATCACAAGACACTTGTGAAAATGAGTAAAACTCTAGTATTCTTTGGAATTGGAAAAACATAACTGTTTTGTTCACAGTCGTAGGGGAAATGTGGTGGTTTGAGAGAAAGCGCACAGGGCTGTGAGCCGAGGCCATGGCTGCAGTGCCAGCTCCCCCAGTGACTAGCTGCATCTGAGTGCTAAGACTTTTCAATTGCTTTTTCCTCTCTGCTTCAGTCTTCTTGTCTCTAATATGGAGCAAGCACTTGGTTTGAGACGAGAGGTCCTTGGAAATGTGTAAAGAACTCCAGAAATGTAAATTATGTATTATTATTCCAAAATAATATTTAAGAGCTTGGTAAGTGCAGAGAATGGTTTAGAGGAGCTTAGAATAAGAAGGAGGCATTTCCTGGCCTTTGGGTGCAGAAGATACAGTACAGACATGCACAGAACTCCTCCACTCATTCATTCAGTGCATATTTGGGTTTTTAATGTGAGCCAGATACTGCACAAGGCCCTGAGTAAATTTCATTTGATGTATTTGTTTTCTATTTTTTTTAAAAAAAGATTTATTTATTTATGCATGCAAAACTGGGGTGCAGGCCAGAGGTGGGGGGGAATGAGAGGATTCACCCAGGGACAGAGCGGGGAGCAGAACAGGCAGACTGACTGAAATGTACTGCTGAGGGGAGCAGAAGGTGAGACAGGAGAGGTCTGCTGAGCCATGTGGGTAGCTCCCTGGCTAGCCGGAGATTGAACTCTTGCCACAGAGGCTGTGGCTAGCTTCACAGTGCTGTGCTTAACCCCTTGTGCCACCAGGGAGACCCATTTGATATATTTGTATCTCACTTTTTTCCACAAAGGATTTGAAAATTGTGGAAAAAAACTGTGTTGATAAATATATAGAGACTTTAGGTGGAGCCAGAGAGCTATCATAATATTGAAAAGTATGCACTGGGCTAACATTTTAGTTAATCTAGAGGAGGTTCGTGAGACAATTAGCATGGGTCTTATTTCTTTCAGATGCAATTGGATAAAAACCACAAGGAGTCAAAGATATGTTTTAAAAAATACAAAGGAAAACCTTGAGCGTCTCAGGACAAATTTATTCCATCACTCCCCGTGTTTCTCACCCTGCCTTTGCCTCCAGAACCTTAGCTCAACTGGCTACTAATCTTCTCACTCTATAGATCAAGGGGGAGCAGTGGTGAGGTAGAGTGAGGGATGGATGCCTGGAAGCACTCAGCAAACACATATAAGCCCTGCTGTCGGTGTCCTCCTCGAGAGTGGGGAACAACATATTGCCCCTGCCCTTGGGAGCTTGGGGTGAGGTAGTGTGGGCTGACAGAAGATGACAATTGCCAAAGTATCATGCTGGGTACTGTAGGAGAGGACGCATGATGCAGTGGAGGGAATGCTCAATTAATTCTGTCTTGGGGGCAGATGAGGAACAATAGAGCAGAAATGCTCACAAATAGGGGAACTTGAATAGCAGCTTTTTGAATGGGTGGGTGCTGTTAACCTATATGGTGCCTTGGTGTGAATTAGAAAACGGGCTCATGCTGGGCTAGCAGATCACTCTCGTGCCCTCGCACAGTGAACAACATGCAGCGCCATATAGGGCACGTGCATGTGCTGGTTGGTCAGAGAAGAGTGGTAAGAGCATTTGGAGCAAAGACAGCATAAGGAAGGCCATAAAAAAAGTGCTAAATTCAAGAAGTGGAAGAAGGAAAATGAAGGTTTTGGGCCCCTGAGCAGAGATAGTAGAGTTGGGATGGAGAGACCTGATTTGGGGGAGAAAGGAAAGGAGCTGGCAATTGATGAGGTTGGGAAAAGGGAGAAGGGAGAAGAAAATGTTTGAAAACCCCCCTGTTATGGCCTTGGATGACTGAGTGAATGGTGTGGCACTAGCCAAGAAGACCTAAAACAGCAGCTGCAGCTCTCATTCCCCACTGCCTGGCTGAGAATGCGGGTGGTTCCTTTCTAGTTTCCCGAAGTGGTCCCTCTGAACATCGGAGGGGCTCACTTCACCACGCGCCTGTCCACCCTGCGTCGCTACGAGGACACCATGCTGGCAGCCATGTTCAGCGGACGGCACTACATCCCCACCGATGCGGAGGGCCGGTACTTCATCGATCGGGATGGCACGCACTTTGGGTATGTCTCTCCACATGCCATCATGTGCCGTCATGGCACGCGGTCCCAGCACGTGAGTCGCATGGTCTTGGACACGGAGTTTTGGTATATCCCCTAGTACATAGAAGAAGAGATAACAAACTGGTGGAATTTAATTAATGTGTTTATTGAATTGAATCAAAATTCTTAGTTTCTTTCCCAAAGAGAGACAAAGACAACTGGAGAAATCCGGCAACACACACTGGCTCCATAGGATGAAATGCTTCTGTTCTACACAATTGAAGACCTGAAAGTTGTCCTCTGTGTGCGATCCCACCTAGAGGCAAGGGAGGTCCATAACAACTTCTTGAAGAATACTCTCTGTTCCACATTCTGGCAAACCTGTTTTGAGACCATGTCTTTCCATCTATTTGTGTTTAGAAGCCAACAGAAGGTTGTTTTTTGTTTTTTTTTTTTTTTTTTTAAAAAAAGACTTCTTAGCATTGCCATCAGGGGGGAGCAGGGGCGAGCAGGGCCATAGCAGTGGTTCCCAGACTTCTTTGAGTAGTTTCAAACTAACAGGACTGGTGAGGGAAGGGCCAACACAGGGTTTGCCATCCTTTACTTTTGTCAAGAAAAGTCCTTAAAAAGGCAACCTTTCTATTGTTACTGTCATTTTAATACTAAAGTGTGCAAAGAAACAATCTCAAAAGATAGCTCTTCCCAAGAATGGATTTCTAACAAACTTACTCATAAAACAATTTAAAAATTGTTAAACAATTTGTATTTTGGTTTTCTTATCTGTGAAATGAGAAACAATTATAGCTGCCTTAGAGGCTTGCCGTGCAGATTAAATAGAGTCTTGGTTTGACCCCTGCCTCATCCTTTCAGCGCATATGACTGAAGCTCTTTGCCCTTCTGTCTAACTTTGGAGATGACTAGAAAATTAACATGATACTTGAACAAAATGACCTTGAACAAAATGACCAGAGGCTGAAATGCTCCAACCACTATGTCTCTGTGCTGGCCTCCAGGTAGGAGTGCCCACATTGGGAGAAGGTCATTTTTATCTTCAGAAAGGAGCCTGTGGTCAAATAATTTGCTTAGAAGCATCTGGATTTCCCCATTGGGCTGTCAGCTGCCTCCAATGCTGAGAAAACAAAGTGTCACATCTCTCTGCAGAGCTATAAAAAGATTTTTGTTTGCAGGCTGTTTGGGGGGGTGGAAAGGGCTGGCCCCAGCTGGCAGCTCCCCTAGCACTCTGAGCTGGGTCTTGCCCTGGGGTTATATTTTTTTGAATTCACCAAGCTTTGCTAAATATCCTAGAGAACTAATTTTGGAAGGTGAGGTGGGGAAGGGAAAAGGGTTTGGCAGTAGGCTGATGCCTATACCACATCTGGCCACAGCTGGAGAGTGGCAGAGCCAGACAAGGGTGTGGCAGAAAGCAGGATATTGTGGCATCAGTCTCAGGCAGCCGACTCCAATGACCTGTGATTATTTTCAACAGGTGAAGTTGATGAAGACTAACTAAAAAAAAAAAAATAGGGATTTTTGGCACTTAATGGGGTTCCTTTCTCTGCTGATGCAGCTCACATACCCCCAACACCCAGCAGGGAGGCTGCTTGGGCCTCCATCTAGGGTAGAGCACAACACTTTGCACTGAGGGGAGGCGGGGTGGAGTCAACCCTACCTGCATTTGAACTTCTGGTGTGCTGTGGTTCCTTGAGCATAGGTGTCCCTTAACATCTCTGAGCCCCACTTGTTCCACACTCTTATAATGGACATAAGAGAGTTCTTATTGCATCATCATTAAAAAGATGAAATGGGATAACACCTGAATAGTGGCTGACACAGATTGGTATTTAGTATTAGCTGTGTTGTATTATGGTTGTAGACGAACTATTGAGAACAGATTGATCTTGGGGTTTACACATACACCCTTACAGAAAAGCCCTTTCCACAACTACCAGTGATAGATCTGGTTACTCTTAGCACTAAAGAATAAAGAGAGAATTTTGAAAACTATATTTTTATTTTAAGAAAATGCAATATATAATTTTATTCTCTCCTGGAACCAGTTTGCTCAAATGTCAGGGTTTGGCATTTGATCTTCTCCATAAAGCTGCAGAATAATACTAACAGCAAGGATGTGTACAACATGTGGGACTCTTCTGCATTGTTGGTGAGAATGTAAAATACTACAGCCACTTTGTTAAACATGTGCTTACCCTATGACTGAACAATTCTGCTCCTGATGATATTTTCCTAAGAGAAATTGGTGCATGTGTCCACAAAAGCTCATATACAGGAATGTTCATTACTGCTTTACTCATGAGACACCAGACTGGAAACAACTCAAATAAGCATCAACAGAAGAATAGGTAAATAAATTACAGTGTAAGATACCATACAAGTATATAGTGCACAATGGCATGCAACTTAGCAATAAAATAAAAAGCCAAACTACTATTACTCCTAACAGGGGATGAATCTCAAAAATTATGTCAAGGGAAAGAAGCCAGAATATGTCATATACTGCATGGTATTATATGAATTCCAAGAAAAAGTAAAACTAATCTTTGTTGATAGAAGTAGAAGACATATAGGTTGCTTCTATAGGGGCTGACTGACAGGAAGCACAAGTAAACTTTTTTTTTTAATTTTTAAATATTTATTTATTTATGCGTACGAGAACTGGGGTACAGGCCAGAGGTGCAAGGAGTGAGAGGATTCACCAGTGATAGAGTGGGGAACAGAAGGCAGATCTACTGAAATACACTGCTGAAGGGAGTAGCAGGGCAGAGAGGAGAGGTCTGCTGTGCCATGTTGGTTGCTTCCTGGTTGGTTGGGGATCGAACTTGTGCTTCATTGGCTGCTGATAGCTTGATAGTCTGTCTTTAACCCCTGTGCCATCAGGGAGGCTTCAGCGCAAGGAAACTTTAAGGAGAATGAAATGTTCCATGTTTTCATCTAGGTGATTGTATGGGTATAACCATATATAAAAAAGAAATTAAATTGTACAATTAAGATTTATATATTTACTGAATAGTATATCTCAACTAGAATATGTATGTTAAGGGGCTAGTATATCTTTCCATTATTCCTGTATAAATTTAATAATAACAGCACCTAATATTATACCTAATAATGATTGTAATTATAATGATACATACTGATAATGAATACTAACACTTACTGGTCTTACTCTGTGCCAGGTATATTTGAAGCACTTTTTTTTTTTTTTTTTTTTTTTTTTTTTTTATTTTTTTTTTTTTTTATTTATTTTTTTTTTTAAATAATAAATTTTATTGTTGTATTCCCCATACAATTGCAGCCCCCCCATTCTGACCCCAATCCCTCCCCTCCCGCCCCCACCCCCCTAAAAGTGTCTCTGGTTCATAGTTTTTTGTTGATTTTGATTTTCACTTTCTTATAGTTATTCGTTTTCCTGGTCCCTTATTTAAGTTTTCTAGATTCCTGCTATGAGTGAGACCATCCGGTATTTTTCTTTTTCTTTTTGGCTTATTTCGCTGAGCATGATCCCTTCCAGCGCCATCCATGTTGCTGCAAATTGCATGTGTTTATCTTTTTTGAATGCTGAGTAATATTCCATGGTATATATGGACCACATCTTCTTGATCCAGTCATCTATTTTTGGGCATTTGGGTTGTTTCCAAAGCTTAGCTATTGTAAACAGTGCTGCTATAAACATAGGGGTGCAGGTGTTCTTTGGAATTGTTGTTTCTGTGTCCTTTGGGTAAATACCTAGGAGTGGAATTGCTGGATCATATGGAAGCTCTATGTTTAGTAGGTCCAGAAATCTCCACACAGCTCTCCACAGTGGTTGGACCAGTTTGCACTCCCACCAACAGTGTAGAAGAGTTCCTTTTTCTCCACATCCTCGCCAACATTTGTTGTTGCTAGTTTTTTTAATATGTGCCATTCTCACTGGTGTAAGATGGTATCTCATGGTAGTTTTGATTTGCATTTCCCTGATGGCAAGTGATGTTGAACATTTTTTCATATGCCTGTTGGCCATTTGCATTTCCTCTTGAGAGAAGTTTCTTTTTAGCTCTTCTGCCCATTTTTTGACTGGATTATTTTCTTTGTTGTTGTTGAGTCTCATCAGCTCTTTGCAGATTTTTGTGATCAGTCCTTTATCATTAGTGTTGGGTGCAAAAATGTTCTCCCAGTTGGTGGGGTTTCTCTTTGTTTTTGTTATTGTCTCTTTTGCTGTGCAGAAGCTCTTTAATTTGATGTAGTCCCAGCTGTTTATCTTTGCTTGAAGCACTTTTTCTATAGTAGCTCATGTAATCCCCTCATAATATGGGATAGTTTTTTTTTTTTTTTATTTTCCTCTATTTATAGTTGAGAAAATTAAACACTGAGTGGTTAAGTTCATTGCCTAAAGTTACCCAGAAGGACGTCTGGTTGAGGTTCTGTGCACTAGCATCAGTGTTACACTGTCCAGGCCCATTAGCGCCTTTTCACCAATCCTCTTTCCTCCTGATCAGAGATGTGCTGAATTTCCTGCGCTCAGGGGACCTTCCACCCCGGGACCGTGTGCGGGCTGTGCACAAAGAGGCCCAGTACTATGCCATTGGACCCCTTCTGGAACAGTTGGAGAACATGCAGCCACTAAAGGGGGAGAAAGTACGCCAGGCATTTCTGGGACTCATGCCCTATTACAAAGGTGAGGGGTCAATTGTGCAGGACTGTCAGGGTGTGGGGAAAGGTGGGGTGCAGGGGATTTGTTAATGCCTAGGTCTCTATCAGAACCAGTGGGTCCAAGGTTCATCTGTATTGCTCAAGATGGGAAAGAATTCTGCATCCCTTCCTGCCCTCACTTCCCAGTCACACTGGGAGGATTCAGGTTCAGGTGTCCCCACCGTGCCTGTGACAATCAAATTGTATATCAGAAGGACAGTCCTCATCGCATTGGTTTTCTTTTTCTGTGGAGGACCATGATCCATCTGTTTAAGTCTGTGCCCTTCAAGGCTCACGGAGTTCCTTCCTCAAAATCTGTCTCTTCCCTCTTGGATCCTGAGGTATCTGTCACTGGGACTCTCTTTGCACCTGCCCTCTGTCTTGCCCCTCAGTCTCCACCCCAGTGATCGATGCTGTGTTCACCCCATAGACCATCTGGACCGGATTGTGGAGATTGCCCGGCTGCGCGCAGTACAGCGGAAGGCCCGTTTTGCCAAGCTCAAGGTCTGTGTCTTCAAGGAGGAGATGCCCATCACCCCCTATGAGTGTCCGCTTCTCAACTCCCTGCGCTTTGAGCGGAGTGAGAGTGATGGGCAGTTCTTTGAGCACCACTGTGAAGTGGATGTGTCTTTTGGGCCCTGGGAGGCCGTGGCTGATGTTTATGACCTGCTGCACTGCCTGGTCACAGACCTCTCAGCACAGGGCCTCACTGTGGACCACCAGTGCATCGGGGTGTGTGACAAGCACCTTATCAATCACTACTACTGCAAGCGTCCCATCTATGAGTTCAAGATCACATGGTGGTGAGTAGATCTGGGAGGGAGCAGAGTTCCGTCAGAGAAGGGCATCCATTCCCCTTCGTCGCTCTGGGAGTAGGATTCCTAGAAGGGCTACTGATTGCCCCAGAACCTGCTGAGGTGAGGACCAAGTCCTGAGGCACAGCTCCAAGAGGATGGAGGTGCAGCTCCAGTCTCCCAGCTGTACCTCAGGGTCAGACGCAGGGCTTGTGACCCGTGGGGACTTTGGGCCTTCATTCACCTGATCTTTCCTTGAGGCATGGCAGTCTTTGCCTGAGGCTGATGGGGTCTGGCTAGCTAGGGCTTGACTAGGAAGTCCAGAGGTTTTGTCATTGTCTTGACTTGGCAAGAGCGTTTCTGCCCTTTTTAGAGCCACATTACCAAACGAATGTAGGCATCATCACTTCCTCGACCCTGCTCAAGTTTCTCTTCACGTGCTCAATATATAGGTAAGAACATAGAATATGATGGAGGATTTGCCCAAGTAGTCACCCTCAGTCCTTGGCTGAAGAAGGAATAGCATCTCCTCTCCCAGTCACTCCCTCTGCCTCTAAGAATAGTCCCATGTTTGTCTTAGGATGTGGAAGACTCCTTCTCTCCAGACATATCCTTCACCACATTTTGGAGCTGTAACCATAGTTGCCAAAGCCATGCACCGGGTTGGCCTTAGAAAATCACAATGTTTACAGCCCTGCCTTGGGGCCTTAGCTTCTACCTTCTGCCAACCTTCCTTGCTTGAGGGGTTATTGTATATGGCTGGGGTGCAAATTTTAGAGGCACCTGTTGAAAATTCCCATAGTCAAGGAGGCAAGATACCTAGATCGCCTGTTATTTTTGATATGTAACATCCTTTCCAGAGGTTTGGAATACCTTCTTGGCGGCTGTTTCACGTGTTACAATACAAATTGTGGTGAACCTCCTTGAATAGGAACCACCCCCTATTTTAGCCCCTTTGCTCTATCCTGTTAACCTTCTCCTTCTAAGAAAATGTTCTATAATGGAGAAACAAAGAAAGGGCTGGGTGAGCAGTACAGTTGTCCCACAAGCTATGGAAAGATAGCAGCAACCCTCCATTCTGTTTTCCCATATTTCAGAGAGAGAGAGCAAGGGAGAAAGATCCGCAAGGATCTGCTCCCACTGTATTTTCTTCTTGCTCCATCTGCAGCCTGGGCAGCTGGTCAGGGTGTGGAGATGCATCTCCTAAAGAAAGAGCTATATAGCCCCAGTAACTAGAATATAGCACTTCTGTGTTGGATAAGGGCTTCTCCCTATAATCATGATTGTACTCCTCCTTTGTTCCTGGGTATTCTTGTGGGGAGATCCTTTATATACAAAAACTGGTAAGGACAGCCTCATTGGTCTCAAGACCAGACTGGTGAGGTGTAGGGCAAGGAGGAGCTGCAAATGTCTGCCTCCTTCTGAGAAAGGGAAAGCCAAGACCTGGGACCTTGACTGAATTCCTTGATGGGACAGTGACTTTCATAGCCCTGTGTGGGAACAGCAATTCCATGCTTTGATTTTTGTACCTTTCTGTTGAATCTCTGTATGAGTGGACAGAGGTGCAGACTGAAATCTACAAGGAAAGTACAGTGATTCAGGTTCTAAAGTACGTGTTTTCTGTTATCCTCATCCACAAATGGATCATCACTTTTCTGGAGCTGATGTTCCTACTTGGAGCTTAGCCCAGCAGCATGGCTTTTGCCTTGTTCTAACAGAAAAAATATTTCTTTAAGTTGTTCTGATTGGTATTACTCCCTAATAGAAGTTCAGTTTTGACAGCTACTGGGGCAAGTTATACAGGAGGAAGTCAGTGTGAGTAAAGAGCAGATGAATTAAGCCCAGGGCTTCCTTTTCCCATCCCTGGCACAGAACTTCTTAGCACTAGGTTATTTAGAGTCCACAGAGAACAACTTGCTCACACAAATGCAGATTTGCTTAAAAAAAAAAAAAAAAAGGCCCTAATGACCTGCTTGGGGCTACAGGGATCCTGGACAAGGACGCTGTCCAGTTTGTCTCTCCCCCTATTTTCCTCATGGTGGTATTTTCTGTGCCAGTGTGGGGAGAAAAGGCTCTGGGCAGAGCAGGGACACTGGCAGCCAGCTTGGGACTCTTTCTAAGAGGCGTCAAAGAATTTGGTGGCCCAGTTTGCCCATTCTCTGATGAGGAGCCCGGCTGCAAAGTGCATTCAGAGGCCGTGGTTGGTGGTAATGGATTCCCAATTAAAGGGTCCCTCTGAGGCAACAGCTTCTCTTAGTTGGATTGTTTTCCAAATCTAAATGGCCAGGCCCAGAGCAGAAGGAGGATTGGGTCAGGAAGGAGGGTTACAAAGTATGATTGTTTCTCCCCTGTTGAAGTATGTTTCATAGAATTCTTGTGCATAATGTCTATAAATGCCTCTCATTTGATTCATCCTGCTGTGAACAGGATATCGGTTCTCAGTAGGTCAAACCAAAGTGTTTGCCTTTGGTACTTCCCTTATGTTTGACTTTGGGCACTTCTTCCTCCCTGTGTGGGGCTCACTGGTTGGGAAGGTGAACATTTTAGGCGACAGGACTAGATGTGTGGTGTTAGCCCTAACACAGTTAAGTAAAAAAATGAAAAGCTAAATGACAACAACAACAAAAAGACTGGAAAGAACCCACAATGAAACACATCATACCATTCCAGGTGGAGGAATTATTTTGCTAAAACTCTAAATAGAAGAAATAGAAAAATTGTCACCATCCTTATCCTACCTCTGGATAATTTACCAGATTGTCTGATGCTTGTCACATCGAGCACAGTCAATTATGTTCTGAAAGTTTCTATTCTTTCTGGGTCTTCAGTGTATTCTGGGAGCTCTCTGAACCTTGTACCTCAGGCTGATCAGGTGATAACCTTCCTGTTGTTTGCTGGCTGGAGGACTAGGAAATTGATGTTTGCAAGCCACAAGGTGGGGTGAGCTGAGCTCAGTGTGTGATCCTGGTCCAAGCTGGATCCTGAAGAGGTTAAGATAAACAATAACAAAACAAAAACTACTCACACTGAGCAGCTTGATCCCAGTTAGAATTTCAAGAATTTTGTATACCTTCTGTCCATATTTGAATCTAATAATAAGTGATTAAGCTTTCCTGGGTACCACTTTGCTGGAACTCTTCATGAAGGTGGTGCCTATGTCTTGATCCTTAAAAGAAGGATTTATTCATCATAAGTCAGAGTGTTGGGAACTGAGTTGGGAGAGGCACTTTTGAGAATTCTGGAAAAAAATACACATATATACATATGTTAAGTGGGGAAGGGTAGCTTAGCAGGGATTTAAAGGAGGGAGGAACAAAGACTGGAGGAATAAGAGTTCTCTGGAGTGTGGGATGCCACTTGGGTCCATTGTCTTCTGTATGGTGTTGGGTTTGTGTGTACAGTATAACACTTCCTGTGTCTGTTCATTACCTGTCTATGAGTGCTCTGGTGCATGGAGCCTCAGTACCCTTACATGGCATTAAAGTCAAAAATTAGAACCTGGGTGCTGTGCCTTTTCTTTTTTTTACTCTCATACTTCCTCTGCCTCTTCCTGATGTTCACTTTTTGAACATGTTTTGATTTTTGCTTAGAATGTAGTAATTTGGGGGACATCACACTAAATAACACAGGTTCTTCTTGAGACTAGCAGCTGAACTTCGGCCCTGATGTGAACTTAAAAGGACACCGTGAGGGCCCTTTTATTCTAGCTTTGTCTCTATTCCAGGTAGGTGTGTGCCTACCCATCTTAGGCAGGCAGCCCTGCCCGCTTCTATTGCATATTCTCCAGTGGAAGAAGAAACCACGGTTGCACAGTCACGTGTGTGGCTCACAACCTTTTCAGGTAGTTCTGAGAGAAATCTCTCCCATCATATTACCACTTTTTCGAAGAGGGATATTACTGGCTCTAAGCTTTTGTGAGCCTCAGTGTTTAAGACCCTTCCTTGAGGAAAATGGACGTAAGTTGTTCTTCCTCTGAAAGCAGAGGTTGACACTTTACTGGCTCTGAGTGTCAACATCATGATGGCTCTTGGAGTCACTTCAAGTAAGGAAAGGTGAGTTCTGAAATGACAGGTAGTCACATCACCCTCTAACTGCTGCCCTTAAATCTGATTATTTTGACTTTTAAACAAAAAGTATTGCATCATCTGTTTCAAATGTGTTCCCTGACCTGATTACTGTGCATACAATCACACAGTAATAATATACTAATAATACCTTATAGCTTGGAAACGGAAGTTCACAGAGGTGTAATTTCCCCCAAAGACACTAGCCAGTAAGTGACTGAGCCAGAGTTCAAACTCAGAGCTCTTTTCTGAACTCCCCAGGGGTGTTCAGCAGCAGAACCCTACCTTCCTCTTAGCAGTTCAGCACCCACTGCTGAGGCTCAGGACTTCACTTTGCCTAATATGTTAAGATTTAAAAAACAGGTACTCTGGTAGAGAGCCTTCTTTAGGAGTGTAGGCCTTAAATAGCCCTAGGATTAAGGAGTTGATGGTTTTCCCAATTTACTGCCCCTTCTTAATGAGTGTGAGTGTCTACTGGGTGGAAAAGAGCCTGCTTATGGAGCAGTGAGTAGAGGATGACTTGCAGGTGAGTACTGGCTCCCTGGTTAGACTCTGAATGAGACAGGATGATCCAGGAGAACCCAAATTAATCAGACTCCTGCAGCCTACAGTCTGACTGCACAGAGGTGCTGTGAGCCTGCCCACACAGGGAGGTATGCCCAGGACTGAGACTGTTCTTCAGAGACTCCTGGCTTCAAGAGAATAATTGAATGGGAGGCTTTGTAGTTTAGCTCAGCGTTGGCCAAAATGGGACAGCATTATCATGTGCACTACCCATGCCCTTAGAAGGACATACTACTGATGTGACTTTTATGCCAAAATTGAGTAACCTGGGCCTCCCCGGTGGCACAGCGGTTGAGCGCTGGGCTGCGAAGCTGCTCGCAGCCTCTTGTAGCACCGGTTTGATCCCCGGCCACCGGCGAGGGTCCCACATGGCGCGCAGACCTCTCCTGCCGCCCGCTGCTCCCCTCAGCAGTGTACTTCGGTCCTTCTGCCTGTTCTGCTCCCCGTTCTGGCTCTGGTGAATTCTCTCACCCTCCCACACTTCTGACTGTACCCAGTGCTTGTATAAATAAATAATCTTTAAAAAAAAAAATAAAATTTGAGTAACCTGAATCTAATCATGTGAAAATATTTGACAAAACCAAATTGAGGGACAGCTTTTAGGATGACTTTTTTATTCTTCAAAATTTCAAGATTGTGAAAGACAAATTAAAATGGAAGAAGTATTCCAGATAAAAGAAGACCAAAGAGATCCTTAAATTTGGAAACAGGAGAAACAATAGTTGGATAAGGACTGTAGATTTTGATAATTTTGTTTTGGTTTTCTAAGAGAATATCTTTAATTCTTAGGAAATACACACTGGTATGTAGGGGTTAAGATTCATGAGTCTGCAGATTTCATATTCTTTGGAAAAGATGTGTGTATTTATGTGTGAGGGGAGAGAGAAAGAATTTAGTGATCAAGTGTTACAGAAAATGGGGACAAATTTACAAGGCCAAAAAAAGAATTCCAAGTAAGAGGAACTCAGAAACCAATACCAAGGCATAACCAAATTGTAATAAGCTAAAAAAAAGACTCTTGAAAGCAGCAAGAGCTGCAATTCATCATATACATAGGATATTCAGTAAGATTATAAGCTGATTTCTCATCTGAAACTGCAGTGGAAGAAGGCAGTATGATTACATATTTAAAGAGCTGAAAAAAAACCTGTCAACCGAGAATCCTATATCTGAATAAACTGTTCTTTCAAGAATGAAGGAGAAATTAACATATCCCCAGATAAACAAAAGTGAAAGGAGTCCATTACTAGGAGACATACCCTATAAATTGCTAAAATCCTTCAGACTGAAAAGTAAAGGATGCTGGATAATAACTTGAGGCTACATGAAGAAATAACACTGGTGTAGGTAAATACCTAGGTAAATATAAAAGTCTATTATACTTTTGATTTATAACTTTTCTATATATTTTATTTTATTTAAAGATTTATTTATTTATTTATACAAGCACTGGGTATAGTCAGAAGCGCGGGAGGGTGAGAGAATTCACCAGAGCCAGAGCGGGGAGCAGAGCAGGCAGAAGGACCGAAGTACACTGCTGAGGGGAGCAGCGGGCGGCAGGAGAGGTCTGCGCGCCATGTGGGACCCTCCTCCGGTGGCCGGGGAGCAGTCGGGGATCGAACCGGCGCTGCAGAGGCTGCAGGCAGCTTCGCAACCCAGCGCTCAACCGCTGCACCACCGGGGAGGCCCACTTTTCTATATAATTTAAAAGGCATATGCACATAACACTGATTATAAACCTCTCAATTTATAAAGTTGGGCTCTGTGACAATAACAAGATAAAATGAGAGGGACAGAAATGTATAAAAGCAGAATATTTTCTTTTAAATAAGTTGGTATTATTCAAAGTAAGTCTTTCTAAATTTAAAATACTGATTGTAATTCCAAATTACTTATTTCCAAAGATAACCAAATACACAGAAAAGGAAAGAAGTTAATCACTATGGTAGGCTACAAAAAACAAAAAATTAATGCAGCACTGGAAAAACTGAAGAACAAAAACATGTAAAACATAAACAACAGGGGGCAAAATGGCAAGTAAGTCCCTATCAGTCATCACTTTAAATGTAAACCAATTAAACTTAAACTATCCAATTAAAGTCAGAGACTGGCTAAATGTATTTGCTATGAAGTTCTGTGTAAGACACTCACTTTAGATATAAAGACACAAAGGGGCTGAAAGTAAAAGAATGGGAAATTCCAGGCAAAAAGAAAGTTCTCACATTGGTAACTTGATTAGATGCCTTAAAAGAACTAGAAACAGATGAGCAAACGAAATAAAATTGCAGAAGGCAGGATGTAAAGATCAGAGAGAGGGCTTCCCCGGTGGCGCAGGGGCTGAGCGCTGGGTTGCAAAGCTGACCGCTGTCTCTGCAGCCCGGTTCGATCCCCAGCTGCTCCCCGGCCACCAGAGGAGGCTCCTACATGGCGCGCAGACCTCTCCTGATGCCCGCTGCTCCCCTCAGCAGTGTACTTTGGTCCTTCTGCCTGCTCTGCTCCCTGCTCTGGCTCTGGTTAATTCTCTCACCCTCCCGCGCTTCTGACTGTACCCAGTGCTTGTATAAATAAATAAATAAATCTTAAAAAATAAAATAAGAGTTCTCATTTAAAAAAAAAACCAGAGTGAGATAAATGAAAGATAATATATCAAAATAAGAGTAACAAAAATCAAGAAAACCAAAAATTGCTTTTTTAAGATCAGCAAAATTGACAAACCTTTAGATAGGTTGACAAAGAAAAAAAGAGCTCAAATTGCTAAAATCAGAAATGAAGTGGGGGGCATTACTACTGACTTTACTGAAATAAAAAGTATTATGAAAATGTATTAGGAGCATATGTGCACCAACAAAGTGAGTACCAAATGAAATGCACAAATTTATAAAACAAAATCTACCAAGATGGAGTCACAAAGAAACAGAATATCCAAATAGACCTATGACTAGTAAGTCACTGAATCAGTAATAATACCTCCCAACAAAGAAAGTTGTGTATCTGATGGCTTCACTGGTGAATTCTATGAAACACTTAAAAGAACTAGTACCAATTCTACTCAAATTCTTCAAAAAACTGCTCGTCTCATTCATTCTATGAGGCCATCATTGCTCTGATACAGAACCCAAGATACTATAAGAAAAAAGAAAACTACAGAGCACTGCGCCTTATGAACACTGATACAAAAATTCTCAATAAAATACATGAGTCCCTGTAGGGTAGTGAATGCACTTTTCCTCCTATTCTGAGTTCTTGGATGAGACCCCTGTCTGTAATAAAAGATTCATTGGGGGAAAAAAATGTATTAACATGTAAACCTCCTATATTCATGGGAGATAGCCAGAGAAAAGGTTTAAAATGCCAACTTAAATCCCAACTTTAGGTAAAGAAGTGTGGGCCTTCCTGGTGGTGCAGGGGTTAAAGTCTCAGTGCTACTGGTGGCATGAGTTCCATCCCCAGCCAGGGAGCTTACCCACATGGCACAGCAGACCTCTCCTAGCTCACCTGCTGCTCCCCTCAGCAGTGTATTTCAGTAGATCTGCCTGTTCTGCTCCCCACTCTGTCTCTGGTCAATCCTCTCACACCCTGGCCTACACCTCAGTTCTTGTATGCATAAATAAAATTTTTAAAAAAATTTAAAAGAAAGGTGTATTTGTATGTATTTGGGGAGGTGGGGAGGAAAGGGGAGAACTAGTTATGAGAAAGCACGGAAAACAAGCTTAAGGTTTGTTAGGTAGATTTAAGTTGGTGTCTTCTCCAAGGGTAGGATTGTCTTATTATTTAGTGTCATTCTTTCCAGATACGAAAGGAGAGACCCTAGCAAAAGATTTCCTTTATAATGCAGATTTCCCTCACAAGAGAGTAACCTTAAATTTGTTTCCAGAGCTGCTCTCAAAATAATCCCTATACCAAAAGAGGCGTATTATAAGGTATATTCTGCACCCCATCAGCATTTAGGAAGAATATGAAGAATGAACCAATCTCTAGTTTGCAAAAATGGAACAATAACTGAGAAATGTGGCAACCTGTCCAACTTCAGAGGAATCACCAGTAAAACCGGGATGCACCCAGTTCAGCATCCCTCATACAGTATAGTTTTTTCCCCGTCTGCTGTGGCTGAACTTTTTGCCATAGAGAGCACCAGGACACAGAAGCAGCTGCTGTTTCCAACATTCCTGAAATGGGAATCACAAGAAATGAATTCCATTTATAACTCGACCATTAATCTGGGCGACACTGGCACATTTATTTAACGTCTGGGCCTCAGTTGTGCTCAGCTGTGAAGGTTCTGGGTCACCCTACGTCTTTAAGATCGTTAACGCGACTACTTCTCCAACCCTAAGCTCCGGGAACGGATGGGAGATAACATTTCTTCAAGTGGCTTCAATCCACCCAGGCCGGCAAACGTCCACTGCTGGCCCCAGGGCCCCTCTCCCGCACCTCCGCGTCCCCGCTCTCCAGCAGCCGGAGGGCCGGGAGGCGCCCGCGGGCAGCGCGGCTCAGGGTGTTCCGAGGGCGGGAACAGCGAGCAGCAGGGACACCCTGGCCCCTCCTGGCGCCCGCTCCGGTGTCTCGAGCGCCTCAAGGATGGCCTCGAGGACGCCTCTTTGCCCAGCTCCTCCGACTCGCCGGCGCGGCCCTTCACGTCAGCCGCGGCGCCGCGCCCCCCACCGCGGCGGATCCCGCGGGGACAGCCAGGGCTTCCCGCGGCGGTAACCTCCCGCGTCGGACCGCGGCCCCCGGAAGTGACGTCGTGCGTGCGTGACGTGCGCTCGCCGCGCCGGGGGCGGGGTGTGCAGGAGGGAGGGCCGGCGCGAGGGCGGGCTGTGGACTGGCGGAGCCCGGACCTCGGCGAGTGACTCTGGGGGAGCCGCGGTCGCGACGGCCGTGGAGCCGCAGACAAGGTACGGGGCGGACAGCGCGGGTCCGGGGCGACCCGGTTCTCGGCTCCAGGCAGCGGGGGCGGCGACGCCGTCTCGGCCGGGGGCTGCTAGTCTTCGTCCGCGTCGTCCACCCGGCCGGAGCCGTTTTGCTTGGGCGCCTTCTGCTGCCCTCTGCCCCGACCCGGGCCGGGCGGCGCGGCCCTGGCTGCCCCCGGGCGGGCTCCGGGGCCCTGAATCCTCCTAGTGCGCGGCCTGTCGCCTTGACGTGCTCGTCGCCAAGTTCTCCGCGGCCCGGCCCAACTCGGACAGACAGACGCTTATCATTTCCTGGCTGTCTCCGGCCACCCTGCCTGCAGGAGGGCTTCCCTGCGCCCGGCGTCCGCCGCCTGTCCGTCCAGTCCGCGGAGTCCGAAGGGACACCTGTGGTTGTGGCCGGTCGGGTGCCCCGGGGCCCTCGGGGGCCCGTCTGGATTGCAGCCGGCCTTGGCAGGGCCACTTGGTGCTCCCGAAACAGCCCGAAGCCGCGAGGGCGCGGTCTTTCGTGGCGTGGAGACTGAAGGACTGCTCCGAACTTTCGCCCGGGAGTTGAGGGCAAAGCTGTGGGCCTGGGGTTAGGTACACAAGTCCCTGCTTTCGAGTCCTCTCGGAGGCCAGCAGAGGTGATGCCCATCACGGAAGTTTGGTAGGGAGGAAGGGAAGGACTCTGCCGCCGTGGAGTAGGTCATAGGCAGCTGCTGGTGTCTCAGCTGGTGACCAAGCCCTGTGGTTGGGAAATGTGTCAGTGGGCGCGGATGGCGCCTGTTACCCTTGAGATTAGATGTGAAAATTTGCCGGGACAGGTTTACAGCTTCTCCTGGGGGGTCGTTTTTTGGACCTGAAGACATTTTTACTTTTAACTGAAAAAAATAGTTGTACTTATTTCTGTAAATCTAAACCACTGCTTTTTAAAAAAAAGTCTGCTAATTAAAATAGTTGTAACAAGAAGGCTTGTCGCAGGTGCAAGACTTGATTATAGTTAGTCCATTTGATGATAAGTTAACTTTTAAGATTTACTGGCTTTTATGTGAAAGATTAGGAAGTGTTGAGCAGTTGAATTTTACCACGGTTTCAAGCAAACGTGTTTCTGCTCTCCAGAAGTTAGTCAATTTAGGAAAGAGACAGTAAAGATACTTTCAGTATAACATGGGTAAGTAGTGTGCGGGACTCTTGGACCATCCTGCAATATAGGGAAGGCCAAGGAAGAAAAGTGAATATTTCTGGAAGTGTCTTGAAGAATGAGCATCTTTCAGAGTAGCAAGGTGGGGTAGGAATTTTAGGGATAGGTGGGAATGTGTGTATGTGGGGAGACTAAAGGAGAAGAAGCCAGTAACTACTAGGAGGCGAATATTGAAGCGCAGATGATGAGAGATGAGCACAGAGATGCAGGAGCTTGGGCTGGGGAAGGGATGACAACTAGGAAAGGAGTTAAGCAAGGTCGTTGTGGGGTTAAATTGCCATTTTATGTTTACATACAGGCTGCTATGTGACTAATGAGGTTTGTGCCTACTATAGGGCTTATCTGCTATTTTGTATTTTAAGCTTTTCTGCTCCATAAGCCTTGGATTGAATTGTATGCTCTGTTTACTAATTGTTTCTTTGTGTAAGAATATAATTTGTAAGCTTTTAAAAACAGGAATTCTGTTTTTAATCTCTCTGCATTCTAATTCCCAGTTTGGCCTCAACAAATGTTCCATGAATGCTTATTGACTTGATGAGAATTCATTGATTTCAAATTGTTGGTTTTCAGTGAAAAAAATCTGTCCACACTTGGTTTACTATTTTTCTACATATAAAGTAGCCACCCCACCACCACCCATTTCGATTTCAGCTGGTTATAGTTTACTTTATCATAGGTATGTATCTATAGGGAAAAAATTATATATATAGGATTTGTTACTAACCTTGGTGTCAGGCATCAGCTATGTCCCTGAGGATTGTTGGGGGGAAGGGAGGGGGAGAGGGAGGAACTACTTTAGAGAAGAGCTCTGATCCTATTTCATTTATTTACCACAGTCTTTCACTAGAATTTCACACTTGACAGTGTGAGTTTAATTTTTGGCTCATGTGTTTTTATTGGTTGTAAAGTAAACCCATCCCTAAGATGTAGGAGATGTAGGTACATAGCTCCTGTCCATTCTGTGATTCAGAACAGAAATGCTATAAAATGACTTCTTTTCCCACCCCCTCTTGATTGAGGTAACATTGGTTTACAACACTACATATGATTTAGGCGAAAAGGTTCTCCCCTCACTAGATGTATGTTGCCACCCTTCCCCTCCACCATCCAAGCACCCATAATTCTTTGGCTTAGACCATTGCACCCTTCCCTTAAGTAGCTTTTTAATCTATCAGTAAAGTTATCACAATAAAAACACAAGTTTCACTGTAGAGATCTTATTTTCAAAGTCTCGTTTAAATACTCATTTTTATCATAAAGCACAGTGGAAGCATTATGTATGTTGTTTCATATGACAGAAATGCCTGAAAATAATCTAGACTTGTTAAATAAACAGGGAAACAACAGTTAGCTCATCTTTATCTTACTTAATATTAGGTAATTCATATTTTATTTGATCTTTAAAGTTCCTAAATGCTTTAAGAAAAGGCTGTACTTTTTGTTGCTCTTTTCAAGATCTCTGCAATTTTTGATGAAGTTACTGTCCCTGTGGTAGGAAGTGTATTCATTATTGTATAAAACAATGTGTTTCCATGTTTCTGGTAGTATAGCTTGTTTATAGTTACTAGGAGAGTGAAGCACTGTGATTATACATAATTAGATGAATATGCAGTTAAAAGCTAGAAGTTATGATCAGAACGATAAGTATGAATTCATGAACAGGTACACTTTTATATACTGAGAGACTCTTAAAGCTTTTTCTTTTTCTTAAATGACAGAGAGGAGATTGCGGAAATCCTTGAAGCAGAGGTAGTAAGAGGTTTGGTGCTCTAAATTCTGTGCTGTCTCATTTTAATGAATTGTTGGCAGCATCCCCTATGTTAGGCATAGGGGTAACTCAGAAGGAGTTGTGCAAAAAACCTAAAGAATCATTTTTGAAGCTAATTCCATTCAGAATACTCAGTTTCATTTATGGTGATTCAGTCTATTTTAAAATTAAAAATCACTTTTGGGGGATTTTTGCATATGGATATATTTACAATTTTCTGTGTGCTGCAAAGCTAATACATAATGAAAGTGTTTTATTTTTGTAATTCCTCTTTTGTTAGATTTTCCTTATTTTAGACATATTTGTTAAAGCACTTTTCCCCCCTTGTAGAGTACATAAAAGATCATGCCTTTAGAAACTGAACTCATGAAATGTTTATTAATGGAAGGAAAATGTCTTCTCACTGTGCTGTGGTGTTTTATTAAATGGAGCGTATCATTTACTTATATTACATCTTATTCCAGAAAGGATTCATAATGACTTACAAAGGTACATACAGCATACTGTCCGTAACATACAGAAATCAGGGGGTGATAAATTCAGGACTCAGGGAGCAAAATTAAGACAGAAACAGGAATGAGATTAGCACACAAAGTAGTTAAAGTATTTGTAAGAAGGCCACAAATTTGATTATTTTTAGTAGCCAATTCAGAGAGAAATATAATCAGTTACATGGTTTAGTGACCATGAAATAAAAGACTGATTTTTCTTTTGCATTTCCAAAGACTACTTGTATTGGAGAAATTCCTCAACTATATCTTTAAGTAAATACAGCATGTGCTTTATTTTGTTTTTTAGTAAATTCCTCATTGTATAGGTTGATGATACATCATCAGAACGTAATTCAGTAAAAATAGTGCTGGTGGCAACAAAATAATGTGATCTAACTCCTTAGCTCTATGAACTGATTTAATTTGAAGATCTGTTTTAGATTACACATTTTTTAGGTGTCCATAAATATTTTGTTTCTCAGTGGAGCTTTTTTGTTGTGAATTTATCAGTAGTGAGATTTGAATTTGTGCTTCCTGAGAAGTTCCTCGAATATATCTATTTTATGTTGCGATATTATGTTTTAACATGCATGCTTAATCACGGGGAATTTTCATTTCCAGAAGTACCTTTCAGGTGTTAGCTCTAGCACAAAGAGCATGGGCTTGAAAACCCCCGACATAAAATTTATTTTTAAGAAAGGAACAGATACACTCATCTTCAATGGAATATCCAGTAAATTCATATATAGGGTTTTTGCTCATGCGTAAGTAATAATAGCTCAAGTTTATTGAGTGCTGGGCCAGACACTACCTCCTTGTTTACATTATCTCAATATCCTAACTCCCCTTTTAAAAAGAAAAATACAAAGAAATGTGGTTTAGAGCAGATACTTGTTCCAAATAATGGAGATTTGAACTCTTGACTGCCTCAGTGGCCTGAACATCACTGTGATTTTATACTACCTAGGTGACTCGATTGTGGGCCCACGAGATGGGGCTAGACTAGACCTATGCTGGTAATAGAAGTAAACACAGGCAAGTATCAGAACCCATCCTTATGAGAAAGGGCCTTTAATAGTTCTGAATCTTCTCATCCAAAAAATGGGCTGGGAACAAGAAGTTCAGGGTATTTCACCATTGTTTGCTTATAAACTGGGCAAAGAATATATCTTCTAGACACCCATCAGGATTGGAGAAGTGCAAATGTTATTTTATGTTTGCATCAGTAATGCATATAAAAATTCCACTTACTATAAATTATTTCATGGGATCAGGAAAGCCACGTGATATTTATAAAGCAGTATGCTAATCTGGAAAAAGAGGTTGATATTTTATTTTTTAAAATTTTCTGTTAGCTTTATTTATTTGTTGTTGGGGGCAGCCTGAGAAGGCTCAGTTAGATGGTCTTAATCTTGCACTTGATCTTAGCCAAAAGGCGGAGAAGCGATTGCTCTTAATCTTGAGCACACACAACAGGCACTCAAATACTGACTTTTTTTCCTACCACCATTCTTTATAACCCTTCCCCCCTCCTCCCCCTTAAAAG